AGTTTTTCGTCTTCTCCAGCAATTAGGAGAAACAATCTTACTAGGTTTGAGGGTCCTGCCAAAACTTTCTTGTACTTCTTTAGTGTTACTGATACTGACCTCTCATGTGTAAGTGGTACCTTTGGTGTTAAAATAGCAATAGCAGCCACAGCTGAAAAATAAGAGTGATGTGTGGAATTTGGCAAGATGGCAGGATAAAAGGGTGATATGCACATGCATTGGTCTGGAGTGGAAATAACAAACTTTGACAACCAGAAGTTATAGTCAAAATGGAGAGTCATACTGGTCCACTTCCATTATCATAGAATTTAGAGAAGAAGGCCAGGGCTGTCTTCAGTAGAATGGACATCAGGGGGCTGTCACTTTACAGCCTAATACAGACTCCGCTTGCAGCCTCTGGATGACGCAAAGTTAAGAAATAACCATTCTGTTACCCTATCCATTGCCTCATATTGATGCAGGCAGATTTCTGGATCAGAGCCAAGGTGTGCTTACAACCAAGTAGCACTTTGCCAATTGAACCTGTGCGTGCAGAGAATTCAGTTTGAAGAAGGTTCTGCAGCTGTCTCATATGCTAGAGTGGCTGTGGTCAATATTGCTTTATTTTCCTCTTTTTATTGTACTTGGCAGCAGCAGCAGCCTTTGAAAGAGAGGAAAGCAAACAGATGGTAAGCCCCAAAGATAGAAGGCTCTGAGTCACTGCTCCGCTAATGCTTCCGTTTATAACTTTCTCAATTACCGTCTTTTTTTTCAAGCTGTTTCAAAACAGCTGTAATGATTTCTATCCTTTTATCCTAAATGATTAAAATTAAGGTTGTGCACTTGCTTTAATAATATTGCTTTAATCTAGGTCCAGTTCCAAACTTGCACTTCTAGCCCCCACCCCAAAAAATAACCACTCTAAACAACAGATTTACTTATTTAACTCCCAGCTGCACCAGCTGTTCACCAAGCGTTTTTGTTTTGTTATTCCTATATCAATTCCAAAAGCTCAAAGCAGTTTGTTGTAAGGAGAGCAAGAAAATCCCTTTAAACAAGAAAAGGGGAATGACATTTACGCCTTTCGTGAAGTTTAAAGTAATGTCATATAATAATCTTAATTTTACTGTCATAAAGTAGGATAATGGGCTTATGGTTCTTTCTCCCTCTGGTGCCAAAATAACTCAGCTGGGATCAGGGTCCTGACCATGAAACAGAAGGATAAGCATTGATTTTTTTTACTGCTCTGCAAAATGATTCATAACCCAAGTGTTGTACTTTGGTCCACAGAACTCTGCAGCAATTGGCATTCAATATACAATCATTTCCAGTATTTGGACTTACTTGTTGACTTGGTCAGTGATTACACTATGAGTAGGGTTGAGACATTGGCTGGCTTTACACAATGCATGAACCATAAAGAGGCCAACCACACTGTATTTTAATGCATTACATCCCATGCAGTTAGTTTGTGCTTCAATTTATTTAACGAATCCCCAAATTGAGTTGAGTAAGCCATTTTTAAAGCGAGAGTGGTTAGTGTGCTGTACAATTGTGTCTACATTACAGTTGACTTCTTGTGGAGATTACCACTAAAAAAATAAAGATGGAATATAAGATGACAATGATGACAGGGAGACAATAAATCTGTTAGGGTCAATGTTGTAGGGCCTAGCCTGGGAGAAGCAAAACCATACATGTAGCCTGCAAAAGGCTACAGATCTCAGTCAAATAGTCTACCAATATTAGGCACCTATTGAAAAAGACATCTGGAGAGGAAGGTTATCGATTCAAGAAAAACAACTGTTTTTAAAGAAGGGGGAAAATCTCTTATCTGTTTTCATAAAGTATAAGGTAATAAAAGAGCTAACCACAAACGAGGATTTTCAAGAGGGTGTTACAATAAAATATTATTAATTTTGTGTTTATCATTAAGAGCGCATGACTCACTAATGCTGGTAATTAGGCACTGACATGATAGCAGGGACAGATGGAAGAAATCATTTTTGTCTTCATGACTTTTGCTGAAAGATGGCATAACAGATGCAACTAGATCTTATGAGCTTTCAGACCAATAATGAAAGCTGGAGATAGACTTTAGAGAAACACAACAATCACATTTTACACTTTTATTTGGGTTCTGAATGACACTACAGATAAAGTACTTTAATCAAATACAGGAAGAACAGGTTGCTGTGGACTTCCCCCAGATAAAACAGACAGAGTTAATTTGAAAAAGAAAATCCTGTTAGAATTGTTCATGAAAACACCATTTGTAGATCTTGGACTTGAACACCAAAATTCTATCTAGACTAAAATATAATTGGAGGCAATCCAAGGTAAAAGTCACCATCTCCACTTCCCCTATTCTGTCTCCCTTTGATTGTAACAGAAACTTTTGTGGTGACTTGGAATCTAGCTATTGAACTGCTCCATTATCTCAAAGTGCTCCTGCCAATGGTCAGCTCACTCCAATAAAATTTATATGATTACCATCTGAAGAGAGATTGCATTAACAACAATGTTTGATAGGTATTCAAATGTCCTGATCTGTAAAGATGATCTGACTTCCATCTTCCAATACAACATAGAGTTGATTGGGAGGAAGCTCTTACGCATGGAGGCTCTGCGTTGTCCATTGGTATCTGCATAGAGACCCATGTGGGAAAGCTGGTCTAGATCACATAGAAGAGCATTTAAACTCTTCAGCACATAAGCTCCAATGTCTAGAATTAAACACTATTTGTACGAATCAGCCAGAATGGAATCATGGTCTAAAGCAAATAAGCAATAGAGAAACTAGAAAGGATGAAGTACTTACAATATCTAGATTCAATACTGCTACCAAACATGTATAAGAACAATTCATTGTACAAGCGTATACAGCAATATATGTCAATTAGCAACACTGTACAATATGAAATCTAAAGTGCGCAACCCTCAGCTTGAGGTGGAAAAAAACCCAGCAAGATCATTCAAAAGGCAGCACAACTACAGACACAGTTTTATCTCTTTTTCCCCCTATTTTGCAAGTTTACAATGAGTCACTAGTACGCAAAGTTATATATGTTCAATCAAATCATATTACATTGCATTTGTATCTTCAAGTATTTTGAGAGTGTAAAACAATATTGCTTTACAAACTCAGGTGGCCATGTTGCTTTTTAGCTAAAGCTAAAACCCAATGTTTAAACAGGGTTGTAACTGGAAATTGTTCCATGATATGAAACTGAGGAATGACAGATTTCATTTCCTCCAAGATAGCCTTCCCTGATACAATAGCCTCAAGATGTTCTCTCATGCAGCAGCATCCATCATCTCAAACCACTGGCCACAATGGCTAAGATTGATGGGGTTTGCAGTCCCAAACGTTTGGAGGGCAACACACCAAGGAAATCTGCTTGAAATATGGCTGATCTTGCATCCATAAAAACTAGATGGACCTTCATTTTGTTTCCTTAAAAGAGGTATATGAACTGTGGACAGAATATTGATTATCATAATCACATATTTATATTAAAATAGCACTCTGTTATACTTTGAAATTCCATAACACTATATAAGATAAGCTGATAGTAGTATTCCCATACAATTGTTAGGGACTAAGCCTAAAACCCAGTAGCATTGGTTGAATCCATTTATAAATTTCATTAGAAATAATTCAGAGCAGATATTTTCTGCTTTATATTTAGTTGTTATGCTAGGCCAATTCTAGTTGTTAGGAACTGTCTAAGAGCTTAGGTGTGGAAAACCAGTTTCAAATAAATGGATTCAATGTTTTGGACACATTGTTCATAAGATCACATAGATCTTCCGGGACATTAGCAGCCAATCTCTGAAAGGAAATGTGGTCAGAGCAGCAGTTGACAAATATCACATGGCAAGTAAAAGTTATTTCCAACTCTTATGCTGCCTTCAGAGATCAACAGCACCAGATGTCTTCTCAAGAAGTCCAACTGCCAATCCTTAGAATCTACTGTGGGTCTTTGTTGTTACTTGAACGTCTTACCAGTGGACTGGCCTTTTTAAAACCTAAAATATTCATATTTTCTTCAGTAGCTCTGAGTACTGTAATATAATTAATTATTCTGAAGTGCACCCTTTTTTTTTTGAGGAGGCTCCAAATGCAACCCTAATTTTACACCTAGACAGCAGTCTGGAAAGATTAGCTAGGTCATATGGGAAAAATCACTAGGAATAGCAGCATATTGTGATTTTCACTATTTTCGGTTTGTTTTCTTATATGCAGACATCTCCTGAGGTTCTGCAGTACTAGACTCTGGAGATATACAAGATAAAAGGACATGTAAAACAAACATTTCTTTTTAAGAATTTATGTGGGTTTATGTCTCAAAAGAAGCATTGTTAAACATTTGATGCATTTCATCTAAGGAAAAATAAAATATTTCATTCTTATATTTATTATTTGTCCCTGCAGTTTTTAGAACCCATATAAAATAAAAAATCTATATTTTACAAAATAGGATCTTTTTTAATATATATATTTATATATTTATATATTTCTTTTGTAAAATTAGATGTATTTAAGTACATCTGAATGTTGCATGTAAATTAGAAATTCTGTTCTAACAGAGTAAAAAAAAGATAAAAGTTACTCAGTTTTAATTTGCATTTTTGCATTTTGTTTTTATGCTGCCCTACAATCTGTGGCCATTTGGGAACCATTGTTCTATTGGCTATTTTTAACAAAAGGAATTATTTTTTAATAATCACACTGATCTTTAGAGATGAGATTGTGAATATATATATGTATGCTTGATATGCAAAAATGCAGCCTCTTGTATACTATCTTCCTGGAAAAGAAGTTTTTGCAAACTCAGAGGGGAGAAGACAACTTTTTAAAAGGAGCAATGTTCTTGATTTTAAATTGTACTCTACTTTGACGCCACAATATAGAAAGAGAATCACTTTGGAACAAACTACAAATACATTCACCACAGTTTGTGACAACTTAATTGTCTACCTAGAGGTACTTCAGAAGGATATGGCAGATTATAAGATTATAAATCTTGCCCAAGGCGTTCTATTTCTTCAATCAGAAAATCAATGTCTTGGTGAGCTGCTGCTGGATTGGAGATAACCATGCGGAAAAAATTGACCTTGTCTCCCAGGGGCTGATAGCTGACCATCGTGGTTCCATACTCCATCATCCGAGCTTTAATTACCGGTGCCACCTTCAAAGATAAAACATGGAAAGCAAATCAATGCTGCACAGTCGCTTCCATCTGACTCTTCTAGGGATGCATTCTGGGAAGGTCTTTGGGGTGAATGTACGACACTATTCAACAGAATGAGAGCTCTTCAAATTCATTAAATCAGCTTTTTGAAGTGAATAAATTAATAGATGTTACCATATCATGGCAACCTACTTCTGGAAATTTACCAAGTCCAAAAGATCTCCTCCTGCAATAGTCTAAAATTTTAGTACAAAGGTTGGCACTCTTGTATAAACCTGGATATCACAATTCCATCACATGTTAATGGTCTCAAGATTTCCAACATTTCTGTGATTTTCAGAAAATTTGGGTAAAATTTCACATCATGTGAAAAAACTTTCATGAAGTTTCAGCATTTTCATGTGAGATGTTGAAGTATTTTAACATATTTCCAAGATTCACCAAGATCTCTGATCATCAAGTTACTAATCTCACCAAAACATGTGACTTTGCTTCAGTAATATCTACCATGTTTTTCATAAAATAAGGCCGGGCCTTATTTTTTTTTTGACCCCCGAAAAAACGGCTAAGCCGTCTTTTCGGGGGTGACTTAATTTCCTCCCCCACCTAGAGCACCCCATGCGCACGTACCTCTCCATGAGGCCATTTCTATCAGCCGACAAAAGCTTCCCAAAGGCAGAGTCACCAGCCGCTTCAGGGCGAGGCATGGCTGCCCACATCCGCTCACCATGAGGCAATGTCTTTCGTGTGATGGAAGTGCCCCAAGGGCAATCACCAGCCACTTCAATTGGCCGGTAGAAGTGGCCTCGAGGCGAGGGTTGTGTGCATGGGCACTCGCTCCGAGGCCGCTTCTACCAGCCGATTGAAGTGGCTGGTGACTGCCCTTGGGAAGCTTCCATCACCTGAAAGACACTGCCTTATGGTGAGGGGACATGGGTAGCCACGCCTCGCCCCAAAGCGGCTGGTGACTCTGCCTTCGGGGAGCTATCATCAGCCGATAGAAATGGCCTCGCGGCGAGGGGAGTGTGCGTGGGCGCTTGCCCCAAGGCTGCTTCTACCGGCTGATCAAAATGGCTGGTGACTGCCCTTAGGGAGCTTCCATCACCCGAAAGACACTGCCTAATGGCAAGGGGACACAGGCAGCCATGCCTCGCCCTGAAGCGGCTGGTGACTCTGTCTTTGGGGAGCTTTCATTGGCCGATAGAAATAGCCTCATGGCAAGTAGTGTGTGCATGGGCGTTCGCCCCAAGGCTGCTTCTACCAGCCAATCAAAACAGCTGGTGACTCTGCCTTCAGGGAGCTTCGATCGGCTGATGTTCTATCGGTAGTAGATCGGGGTATTCTAGCCTAGGCTACCTGCAGGGCGCTCCTAAAGGCAAGTTTTCTCCCCACCCCCACCCTTCCCCCCCATTTCTCTTCACCTCATGTAGTTCCAACAAACGATGTCAGAAATGGCGGGGAAATGTATGGTATAAATAGGCCTTAATTTGGGGGGGGGTTAATTTCACCTCAGGCCTAGAAATCAGGCTGGGCCTTCCTATTGGTGGAGGCCGTATTATTGGAGAAACATGGTACATAAAGATAGGAAATCTTGTGCCTTCTAGAGAGGTTTAAGTCCCATTAATCTCAGTTTGACTGAGGTTAGGTTAGGACTGAGGGATTTTAGGCCAAACTTCTGTACAATAAGTACCAGAATGCTGATCCTTTCAAGATGAATGTAAACTAATCTTTGTTGTGAAGTTATAAATCTCTGTCTTCATTCTCCACTGCCTTTAATGCGCTGGAAATATGATTTGTTTCATTTCATAATCAGGCTTACACTATCTTCCATAACCTATGCAAGTTAGTTAACTGGTAAGGGTTCCTTTTCTATTTAGAAGAGATTTGATAATTGTGAGAGATCACCCAGATACAGATGGATGTCCTAAGAAATTGCATAGCAGAAATAGACTTCATTCTGTTCTGTTCTGTTCTGTTCTGACTCTCTTTTACCTTTGAAAGACGGTTCATTCTTTCTTCATTATCTTCTGTATTCCGTAAACTGGGAGGCACGTACCAGAAGCAAACATTTGTGTGTTGAGGCTAATGGAAGAACAATAATGGCAGTAAGCACTGTGTTTTCACTTTTTCCCAGGATTGCCTTCCCTATGATTGTGATCAGCTGAAGTGTTTTTCTTATTTATTGATTTTGGTGCATCACGGTAAGAATAACTAGCATTGTAATCAATGCACCTACTAATATTTTTTGGATCTTATGCTGGCAAATCATGTTTCATTCCAAATATCTGTTTTCTTAAGAAGGTGACATCCACTCAAAACAATCTGGGTCATACTAATGGTTAATTTTATTATACATTAGAATTATCTGATTTGTTTTTACCTAAATGTTTGTAGTTCACTGCCCATTACATCAGATGCATATATTCCATTTCATAAAATTCTCTGTTGTGATCCTGTAGAAGACTTAATATGGCTATCCCCTTTGAAACAAAAGGACAGAGCTAGAGTACAAAAGTATTTATTTATACATGTTGTAATGATGGGCATGAAAGAAAGATTAAAATAATTAACTTTTTGATGGCATTTGACTTTTTGAAATGTAGTCTCTTTCTTTGAATTTCCACTGCCCTCCCTAGCCTACTGTGTACTGAGAAGTAATCATACATAGGGCCTGATTATCTTAGGGATCACCCTTCTTCAATCATCCAGCATATTCTTTTCATGTATAAGTATAGACATATGTAAGGCAACCATGAACTTTAGCACTGATTCCTTGTAGCATGAAGATTGAGAAACATTCTCACAGTTGCCAAATACTTCTATGGTACCATATCTCCCATCTGATCCCATTTATATAATTTGTGCAGGATACAATTTCTTGTGAATAAGTTTTGAGATCTGTCAATAACTAAAAAGTAGTTAGAGTGCTAGACAAGAAATTGGAGAATTTTTAATTCATACCACCACTAAGTCAAAGCTTTGAGATTGTCACATAGATGTCTTGCCTATATCTTGGAGCTATGAAGGTAAAACTGAAGGATGGAATACGATGTAAACTGCCTTTAATTTCTGAAGGCGTATTAATATGTCAATTAATAATAAACAAATATTAATATAGTGATGAAAAATCTGTAACAGCACAATTTTTGCACGATAATTTGGAAGAGAATCCATTGGTACATTCTCAAAGATCATTGTACTTATATACTGTACAACACAGTACAATGGACAGCTAAAACTGTACTAGCTATTCAAAAGTACAATTGAAAACATACCTTTCCATCAAACACCATTTCATAGCCTTCTCTGTTCTTAATTTTGTTATATAGATACTCTGCAAGATCCAAGCATTTGTCAATATGTGCTTCAAATCCTATAGTGCCCTGCAGAAAAAAAGGAAAGAAAAAATAGCATGAGTGACTATACAAATCACAGTAATTTTTGTTTGAAAATGGAGCAAGCAATTAAAAGTAAAGGGTGAGTAAGTTTGTACTTTCAGATCTGTAAGCTTGATGTAAATCTTTCTGGGTAAACCAGACAGGAAACATGACAAGATAAACTAAATCTACTTTATTATAAGAGTACATTAATAGAATCTTGTAAGTCTCAAAGTACAAAGGTGCTTTTCAGGAGGCAACTGGACTTTCTTGATTTTTCTTTGAAGACGTTTCACTTGCATCCAAGAAGCTTCTTCAACTCTGACCGGATAGTGGGCAATGGAAGGATTTATATTCCTTGTGGACAGCTGGTTGTTTGCATCCTTTTAGAGGGCTGTTGAAGCACTTGATGGTTTATCTGTGTCCTCAGGGTCACTCCTGATTTCTGTAGTCTACATTTTTTCCTCTGGAAATCCATTCCTACTTCCACACCATTCAAAGGGTGTCCACCCCAAATTGTATAGCTAAAAGTCTGTAGTTGCCTCCTGAAAAAGCACCTTTGGGACAACCAGGACCTGGATGACTGAGAATCTCTACAGACTTCTGAAAGTACAAATTTCCCACACTCCACTTTAACTGCTTGCTACATTGGAAGAGGGGTCTTCCTTACTCTCTTTAAGAGACTGCAAAACACTTGTTTGATTGTTCCCTAGGCAGCATCTCTTCTCCTCTTTCCTCAAGATCACCCATGCATTCCATTACAGGAGGTCACAAATGACAACTATGTGAGGTCCTTGCTTAACAACCCACAGTGACAGTAACCTCACTTAACAACAGATAGAAGTGCTAAAATTTCTGCATCTACATAGTGGGTCATTTGATATTGTGCTTTAGCATTATGCCATGTAGAATTGGAAATAAATAATTACCTACATTTAAATGAGAACCACCATTACCTGTATATGCAAAGCCTACTTTGGACTAAGTGGACCAAAGACTACATTCTATTTGTATAAAAAAGTAAAGAGAAAATCACTGTGTCATTGGAAAGCAACAAGAATAATGCTCCATTAAAGCATTAATTTTTGTGATGCCCTAAAATTATTACATTAGGGGGAAATGAATTATACATATTAAAACATGGTTTATTCTTTTGAGCTTAGTACTTATGACATGGGAATTGACAACTCAAAAACATAAATGAATATTCCTTCTTTTTCCTATTATTAAAAAAATAATAGGAATTAATATCCTATTAATTCCTTCAACCTTTGAAAATATATTTATGGCCCCGTTACTCAGTAAATTGAAGATCAGAAGTTACGTGTGACATATGGATGAATTGTATACAAATGTGAATTATGATTATACAAAATACAAGAATTAACCATTGCATAAAAATTTATATTGTACATATATTTATGAGAAGTCCTCATATACATAATTTTTGTAGTGCTGGCCTCCCTCCCTGTTTATTGATGTCTTTTGGTTCTATTTCTCTTTTTTAATTAAGTTAATAAAAACAACATAAATAATAAATAAAGATGAACTTCCCCAACAGGTAGTAACACTGGTTGAATCCCACCCCTGAATGGGATGCACAAGTGATTAATAGATAAAATAAATAATATAAGAAAGTAAAGGAGAGGAAATGATATATTTCACTTCACTGAGTGCTGGAAGGAGTGAACTCAGTGACTGGTAAGGTTACTTCTAGAACAAGGGTGTCAAACTCACATTGTCATGGCAGTGTCACACGACGTCTCGGGACTCTCTCCGCCTTTGTTAAACCATGCGTGAGCATGGCCAGCACATGTTGCATCCAGCCCGCAGCCCTATCTATCTATCTATCTATCTATCTATCTATCTATCTATCTATCTATCTATTATTTATTTATTTATTTATTTATTTATTTATTTATTTATTGCTGTTTACAATAACGAACAATTTTTAGACAAATCATGCCAGAAAAATCTGTATCATTATGCAGGAAGTATTTATTTGGCAACACCTTTTCAAATGGCCAAAGAGGTGGCCCTTTGAGGTTTCTTACAAATATGCCCCAGAAAAGAACAGGTTTTTAATTTGTTTCTCCACATCAATAATGTGTCCATTCTTAATTTCTGCCTGAAGTGGAAGCAGGTGTTTTCATCACAGTTTGTCACATCTAGTTTTAAGAATTTCTAAAACAAAATCCTTTCTATTTCCCAAAAGCTTTTAGCTTGATTACATTAAAGCGTCATAATCACGGTATGCTGCCAGCTAGCAAGAACTGGATGACAAGCCATAATTGCATGACATCAAATGTTCTAAGCTTGAAAGTGACACCCACTTTCTGGGTGACTTCCTGGAGAAATGTAAACATATTTGTATCATTGTTTGTTGGTTACTTCCAGCTTTCTTGTCTTATCTGCTTCTTATAGAAACAGAGGTCTTATGTAAGAGATTGCTCAAGTTTACCTCCAAGCTGCAGTGCAGAAGGACTAAGAAGGGTTGCCTAGCAACCAACATGCAATTTCGACTTGTCCAAAGCACAATGGAGAGGGAAGCAAAATGTTCCCTTGCCCATTTTTTTTTAAATCATGTGTTGATAGGATAAGGGGAGGAACTGGCAGAAGGGGAATGTCAGAACATAGGAATGGTTAAAACCTTTGCCAACTTCTTTCTCCTTGCATCTATTTTAGAAGGTATACTAGAGTTGTTATGTTTTCTGCTTTAACATCACAGGAAACCATGACTTTCATTTTCTGCAGTTACACTTTGGCACTGCAAAAACAGGGTTGGGACTGCATGAGGATCCTGGGCTCAAAGTGTTCCTCATTACAGAAACACTCCCTTTCAAGGAATACCATGATAGGAATTTGCAGATGGAGCATGAGTCAAAGAAATTGGGAAACAGATTCAAGAAAATAGACCCAATTTAGCTGAAGGTAAACCCGTGGAGATATTTGTATATATAATGTTCTCAGCATGTTCCAATGTTCTCAGCATGTTCCAAAGAAGTAGCATTATCATTGGTGTTTCAAGATTCCTCTATAGACCATTTCAAGGAAATTAGCAAATCTGATCTTGTCTCTGAAGTTCAACATTTTTCCTTACTGCATTTTGAGATCCCTGATTTGGACTACTCTTATCCCCACAAACTTCAACTAAATGCTTACCTTTGCTCTCCACATCAGCCATAGTTTGAAGACGTCAACATGGCGTCCACATTGCAATGCCTTGTCTCCAGTGTCATAAGAGAGATCATAATGCTTATCTTGTTGGAAGAGGTAAGAAGCATGCATCTGATTGCAGCTTTGCATCAGCCCCTTAAAAAGAAACAATCACTCTGCATAGTTCTGATTTACTGCATCTTAAAGAACTACTTGTATTGGAAAAAGTATCAAAAAGAGCAGGCAAAATGATTGAGGAGCTGAATAAACTCTCCAAGAAAAATTCTCACAGTGTTTGCAGGTTTACAAATAAGGGACTATGTCAAAAGTGTATACAATTATTTTAAGAGGTTTAAAAATGGAAATGGATAAGCAGGAAGATACTTTCGAAAGGGAGATAGGGGCTTGGGCGGGCACTCTGGAGGCCTGGAAGCATAAAATGGTAGAGATGGGAAAAATAATTAGACTGAATAGTAAAGATGTAAATGAATGTTCAATACCACAGACAATACTGCTACCCTTCAAAAAGATCTTGACTATGTATCAGAATGGTCAAACAAATGGCAACTTCAAATCTCAACAAATAAATGCTCTGTTTTACATATCGGCAAAAAAAATCAGAAAATGAAATACAAGCTGAATAGTCAAGACCTTGTTGATGATCCAAGCTCTGTAAAGGACCTTGGAATACTCATCTCTAATGATCCAAGTGCTAGAGCCCACTGTAACTACATAGCCAAAAAGGCATTAGGAATTGTTAACCTAATCCTACATAGCTTTTTCTCTGGTTATATCACACTACTAACTAGAGCATACAAAACATTTGCTAGACCAATACTTGAATACAGCTCATCAGTCTGGAACCCACATTACGTATCTGATATTAGCACAGTTGAGAAAGTCCAGAAATATTTCACAGGAAGAGTTCTCCACTCCTCTACTCATTGTAGAATACCTTATGCCACCAGACTTGAAATTCTAGACCTAGAAAACCTTGAATTACGTCATCTTCGGTCTGATCTAAGTATGGTATAAAAAAATCATACATTGCAATGATTTACCTGTCAATGAATACTTCAGCTTCAACCATAACAACACAAGAGCACCCAATAGATAAAGACTCAAGGTTAACCTCACCAAACTTGATTGCAGGAAATACAACTTCAGCAACAGGGTGGTCAATGTCTGGAATACGCTACCTGACTCTGTGGTTTCTTCCCCAAACCCCAAAAACTTTAACCTTAGACTGTCTACTGTTCACCTCACCGCTTTCCTAAGAGTTCTCTAGGGGGCATGCATAAGTGCACCAATGTGCCTACCGTTCCTGTCCTATTGTTTCTTTTTATTTTTCTTATATGTACCCATTTCATGTATTCATAACTATGTATATACTTATACCTATTATCTTGTAAGCAATTGACAAATCAAAATAAATAAAAATAAATAAAAGATAGAGACAAAGATCCAAGAGAGGAGTATGGGAGGCAAGCCAAAAAATAATTAAGAATTGAAGTATTAAAGCGGACAAGAAATGATGGATAGAAAGGAAATGCCTTTTAATATAATGGTCTGACTAAAAGCTAGAATGGAGTAGAAATAAGAATATACATTTTATATAATAGAATAAAAGCAATAGCTAGATGGAAAAATTAGAGGTTGAAAGGTGGTATTATTATGTATGATTGAATAATATGGTCATTGGCATTAGAATGGTGCATTGAAACATTGAACAATTAAATAATGAAGGATTATATCTTAATACAAATGTGTATTAACACTAGGACTACATAAGTTTGACTAATGTAACAAATACTATTAACATTGTTATTGTTATTTGTATCAAAAGGATGGTGCCCAGAGGCCACACTGCTCATGTATTGATGTTGATGTATATTCAAAAATAAAATAAAAAATATAAATAAAAAAGTGTATACAATTATGCAAAATCTGGAAAGAGGGATAATTTCTTAATACCAATACCTGAAACCAAGCATGTATGGCTTCTGGTCTAGGGAATCTAAGAAATCTTATTGCGTTCATAATTTATTTATGAGTTCCCACTGGAATCTATTGTGAAAATAGAATTTTGGGTCTTTATCACTTCCATCCAAGTAGTATTCTTGTATTATACATTACATTCTAGTGTTGTCTAATCTAAATGGAGTGTGGATCAAAGTCACCTAATCGTTTTTGACCTAAAAGGATTTAAATTCAAAAAGGATTTAAACAGAAGATCGGGCAACTATTTGTCTGAGATGGAATAACGACTGCTCCCTTGGGAAGTGGGTTAGATTGGAAGACCTCAAAATCTCTTCCAGATCTATAATTCTATATACCTGGAAAGTTGTTATGAAGCTTATTTTAATTCTGGGTCAAAAACAGTGGTAGTGTTCAATTTTTTTCCCTACCAGTTTTGTGGGCGTGACTTGGTGGGGGAGAGTCATGTGACTGAGTGGGTGTATCCAACTTCACTAATGCCCATGCCCACTCGGTCACATGATCCCCACCAAGCCATGCCCACAAAATCCAGTAGGAAAAAAATATATGAATTTCTACCTATATATTTTCTGCCCAGACAGGCCTTGCCTAATCTGTCAAAGGCCTGGCCTAATCCTGCATGCCACCCACTCTCCCTTCATCAGTCACATATTTCACCCCATTTCGAAGAGACTTGGTCAGGAGTCAGAAGGTAGCTCCTGCACCCTACCTGTCCCTTTTTGGTCCCTCCCTCCACATCAAAGTACCTTAAAGGAACAGGCTGCTTTCTGAACAGCAGTGGAGTGAAGTGAAGGGAGGCAGAAAAATTCACCCAAGTCTTCTCCTTCTCAGCCATACACAGAGCGTGTACAATGCATCTCACAGTGCTACAAGGACTTGCCCAGGCACCATCTCCTTGCAGAAGATCCCGGCCTCACGTGTGCACATGTGAGGTCCCAGGACCTTCTGTTAGGAGACAGCGCGTGGGCTACCGGCTCAGTTCCAGCTGGCAAAGAAGTTGTTCTTCACACCAGGGTGCACTCCATTACCAGTTGCATCAGAGTGAAGGTACTTGCCCAGACAAGTCCCTCCGGCACAGCAGGCAATGGGATGCATGTGCATGGCCAGTGCAAAGAGCAGGGTAGCGAAGGTGGTGGGACTGAAGCACTTTTTTGGCATATTTGAAAAGTGGAGGCTGGTAGTTTTTGGTGCAAGAAGCTTCCAGTCAACCGGCTCGGTACAGGCTGAAAAGAGGCATCAGACGGGAGGCTTCTCGCATTGAAAAAAAGAGGCAGCGGCTGTAGGCGCCTTGTGAGTGCGGACTGGTGGAGAGCCCAGTGGCTCTCAGCCCAGAGTTGCCTTCTCTGGCAGCCAGCCATGGGAGGAAGGTCACGGACATGATGAAAGAGACAGTCATAGGGGAGGAAGCGAGGAGATTAAGGGCCAGAGCCTCTGAAGGAGGAGAAAATGGGTGATGCATTGTGCTTAAGGGAGAGTGGGTGGCCAGCGGTGGCAGCTCCAGAGCAAAGCCGGAACTGGGAAATCCCTGACCCAGCCGAGGCAGCAAGCAGCTCCAGAACCTCGGGGAATAGTGCATCCCTGGGACCCTGGCCCCTGACCCAAGGCAAAGAGTCAGTAGGCGGCATGCATTGCTTACCTTTGGTGAGCTGAGCTGACTGGGCATCAGCAAGGCAACTGGTGAGGTGATTAGCTGGGCCACATGGAAAAGGCAACATATATAGGGTGGGGGTGGGCAAGGCGAGCATTGAGCAGCCAGAAGGGGCAAGCGAGTGGTAACCGGGCGACCAGGTTAGGAGTATGGCCAGCCAGAAGTCGCTACCGGTTTGGCAACCCAGCCCCAAATTGTTGCTACCAGTTCTCTCGAACTGGTGTGAATGGGCTGACTACCATCACTGGCTGAAAAGTGATTGAACTTTTTTCTTTTTAAATTTCAGATATTATCTTAATTACATGAAGTTGGAAGTTATAACCCAGCCCTCTCCTAGGAAATGAAATACTTTAGGGTATACTAAAAAAAAGCAGAATATTTCTCCTAATAGAGAAGTAGAAACTCAGGCAGAAACTCGGCCACCTCCACACCTTTGTCAATGGGCCTTAAAGGCATAACTAAAGATCTACCTCTTCCGGGTAGAGCCATAATAGAAATTGCTCAAAGCCCTTTCATTACATCTTCATCCAGCAAGGCTCAACCAAGCCTGGGACTCAGGACAGCCTACAGAGTTGCTCCTGCATGGTCCCATGGGAGTTTGATAACCAATCAGAATACAAGCTCAAATTCAAATCCCAACAGAGGGCATAAAACCCAGGGACTCTCAGCATTTCTCGCCTTTTTTCTTCACCCAAGCGCTCCAAGGCATGTGATCAGGGGTGGGGTTCAAATTTTTTAACAACTGATTCTGTGGGTGTGGCTTAGTTGGTGAGTGTGGCTTGGTGGTCATGTGACTGGCTGGGCGTGGCCAACTCAACATCACTCACATCGAGGCATGCATCTCCTCACCTGGCCTCTCATGACTGTGGGGATGCTGCAAGTGTGAAAAATTGACATAAGTCACTTTTTTCAGTGCCATTGTAACTTTGAATGATGACTCCACACAAGCAAAGTACCAGCAAAGGAGGGGAGAAAAAACTCCAGAGGTGTTCCTGAGAAAGGAAGTATAGTCCTGCCACATACATAATAAGGGTTAACAGAGAGGCAGTTTCTGTAAGCAATACCAGAATGTTTCTTTCCTGCTTTCCTTACAGGATTAGGCCAGTAATTTCTTCTAACAACCAGTTCTCTGAACTGCTTAGAATGTTAACAACCGGTTCTAGCAAATAGGTGCGAACTGGTAGAATCCCACCCTTGCATGTGATCCTGACCACCATTAAACCATCTTTCCAAGCAGCCTCCATGTTCCCAGTGTCTTTTCCCCCACTTGGAACTGAACCCAGAAGGACATTTCTTCCAACAATGAGTATATCACAATTATGAAGAAACACACATAAAAGGAAAAAAATTGAAAGCAACAATGCATTGTTCAAAGTTTCAGAGGCTCACCTCTTCGCGTACAAGCAAGGCAGAACACTGCAGAGGAACCCCCATCATTTTGTGTGGATTCCATGTCACAGAATTTGCTCTGGAACAGAAACCAGACTTTAAAAGGAAGTGAAATGATCAAGGACAGCAACCTTAGAAACTCAAATGGAAAAGCAAATATAAAATATAATAGCATTTTTCTAGGGTCAAAAGCAATAAGACTGAAAATAAACATTTTAAAAAAACCAAGAAAACAAATAGTAGATAACATAATTATGTGATTATGTCACCATCAGACCTCCGTTCAACTTAATTGGATTTGCAGGCAATCATTTTTTTTAGTATTTAGCACAAAGATTAGGGATATCAAACATAGCATTGAAAATAAACATCCCCGTTATCTGAAACCAGAATTTTAATATTTATGTAGAGCATTTTAATTTTCCATACTATTTGCATTTTGATTCATCTTTACATACATTTCAGAAGATAATTTTAATATTAGTTCATGAAACTGAAGTTGATAAAACAAGTACAATTTTTCGATTGTAGGTTTCACAGATAAGTGGAGGGTATATTGCAGTTCCACAGCTGGATCATCAGTTTTATTTTTGTTTTGTTTTGATGAGGAAAGCATATCTGATGGCATTTTATATTTATGTTTCACATTAGCTCAGGAAGGTGGATAATATTAAGTCATTAGGATGCATCATAATGAACATATACATTATCTTAGCTTCAGTGAGAAGCTTAAAATGGAGTAGAAGCTGAAATGCTGCATGGAACGCTATAATACTGATTTATGTGTTGCTTTCCATCATACATTATGGTTTCCTGCTATGTAAATAAATGCAGAGGGTCTCAACCTTGCATTTATTCCCTTTCCTTAAAAAAAAAAATAGTTTAGAACTTTCTACTTCTGAGCTCTCCAATGTTTAAACCTGAAAGAAATATTTGGAGTTGTTAAATTATGGTTAACTAATGTTACCGAGGATCCGAAAGTCCAGATTTCAAGGGTTTTAGTTTTTAGCTAGCATGACTAAAACCCACAACAAATGGAAATTGTGGGAATTAATAGTTATAAAGTTTGAGAATGCCTACCAGGAAAAAAATTTTTTTCTAGAGAATTATTTCAAACATGATTTAAATTGGCTTTGTTTATCGCCGGGTTGAAGATTCCTGATATCAGTGCAATGTGTGAGAAGCATATCATCATATTATTATCAACCATACCTTTCAATGCCATTTAATTTCCATTTATGTTTTCTTGACATCAGTAGCCCACCACCCCAAGCTCCCTGGAAAAAGAAGATTACAATCATCAATTAAATAACCATTCAGATTTCTGAAAACATAAGATCCCCATATTTAAATATGTGAATCACTTATTAACAGCTTTTTACTTATTTGGAGAAAGCAGTTAAAACTTTGGAAATTGCCAAAGGTAGATTTTGATCAGTTTTCCAGTAACACCGCCTGTAATTTGGGAAGTAGCTTAAAGCAGCATTAATAAATCTTTCAGCACAAAGATCTTCCATGTATATATATGTATATGTATCATGTTTTCCCCAAAATAAGACCCTATCTTATATATTTTTTGCCACCAATTTTTTTTTTGCAAAGGTCTTATTTTTAGGGGGGATATTGTCCACTGATTCACCTCACTTGCGCGCATCACCTTCAGCCTCCTTTTCACTGTAAGAGGCCTTCAGGAACTTCTGTGGTTGGCAAGGTCAGCAATGCTTTCCTGAAAACATCTGCAGCCGACAACAGAGCTCCAGATCAGAGGTGGTATTCAGCAGGTTCTGACCAGTTCTGGAGAACCAGTAGCAGAAATGTTGAGTAATTTGGAGAACTGGCAAATACCACCTCTGACTGGAGATTTTACAGTATCCTTCCCCTGCCACGACCACCAAGCCATGTCCACAGAACTAGTAGTAAAAAAAATTGAATCCCACCATTGCTTCGGATTGATCTGGAGCTCTGTCGTCAGCTGCAAAGCCCCCAAGAAAGCCTTGCCAGCTGCAGAAGAAGTGAGCTGGCCAGCAAGGCAGGGATTGGGGGTGTGAGGCCTGGCTGCAACTGTCTGAAGGTAAGTAGTAGGGTAGCTCTACCCCCATCATCCTTATCCTAGCTTATTTTTTTCCTGTGTACCATGCAGTAGATGGAGTCTTAATTAGGGCTTATTTTGGGGGTAAGGCTTATATTGGACACATGTAAAAAATCAAGTCAGGACTTACTTTTGGGGTAGGTCATATTTTAGGGGAACATGATAAATGTATTGTGTATGTATTGTACTTCAGTGGCCCCCAACCTTTTTTGTGCTGTGGCCCGGTACCAGCATCACAAAATCATCTGTGGCCCGGTACCGGTATCACAAAATCATCCATGGCCCAGTACCGGCATCAGCACACATGGCAAGGCGAGCCGAGCGACCGGCCAGCCAGCTGTCCTCCGCTTCTCCCCGCCACCTTCAACTCCTCCTTTGTACCTGTGTCGATGGGCTTCGCGACGGCTTTGCGATGGTCGCTCGGCTCACCTTGCCATGCGTGCTGAAAGAATCCTCGCGCCTTAGTTTTGTTCGAAGCCGCCCCCCCCCTCGATGAAAATAAGGCGCGAGGATTCTTTTAGCACCCAAACGCTGCTTTCTACCCGGAAAAGCTCACCGGAAGCACTTTTTCATCAAAACAAGATGGCGGCGCCCAGCAAACCGGTGGCCTGGTAGAAATTGTTCCACGGACCGGTACCAGTCTGGGGACCGGTGGTTGGGGACCCCTGTTGTACATTATATATATTGTATTTTACATATATATGTATTGTATTGGTATATATACCCATGTACAACATGCATATACGTACATATACATACATATACATGTGTGTGTGTGTGTATGTATATCTGTAATTAAGTACCATTGTGGATACAGATGGAGTTGTATTTTTTAAAAAGATAACTTTGTGGAGGATTGATTTATCTACCATTGTTAAGCATGAAATCTATATAAAATGCCAGAATACTAAGGTAGTATATCTTTGCACATCAAATGGTTCACCATTTTTAGGTCTGCCCTCTTATCTTTGAGAAACAGAAATCCTTTCAATCTTCCAAAGATTCTATTAATAAGTTTATTTTCACGTGAAACAACATAGCCCAGGCAGAGTTAAATCCTCTGCATCGTCATTATCATTCCCACCAGCAGACCCAGGACTGGATTTACAATCCGATGCTTGAAGATTTCATACTCACATCCACATGCATCCATATCTTATACTTCTTGCAAATATCAGCAATAGTTATAAGCGGATCAAAAGCTCCGTATACGGTAGTTCCTGCAGTAGCACTTACTAGAAAAGGAACAAATCCCTACAGGAATATATAAAAAAAACAACACCTCAGCAGAGATTAATTTCTTCTTCTCTGGCAAGGCATAAAGAGACCACTTTCTTTTATGAGGCAGCCAAGAGATTACACGGTACTTATTATTACAGTTACTTTATTTGCCATGTGATTGCTGTTTCTAACAGTAGGAGGCAGCAAACTGCCAAAACAATAGAAATGATTCAGTATTGTTTACCTAAACAACCTAATGGGGTACATAACAGAGCATCCAAAGTGGAATCTTAAACTCTCAGAGCAGAGAGGACCTAATTAAATGTCTTCAGCTTCCTTACATTTCATTTAAACGCTGTCAGGATTTCCTCTTTGGGGATCTTTATAATAATTCAGCTCTTACTGTGCGGACCTACAATAATTGTTGAAATAGCTGCACGGCATTCTAATTTTATCAGAATAATAGGATGTATCATTCTGCACGATTGCTGGAAATAATATTTTGAGGATACTGATTTGCTGATAAAATGCTATAGATGAGGCATTGCCTTGGCAAATTTACCAGGGATTGATCAATGCTTGCTTAGTCACATGACTCTTCCTTTTAAAAAGCATAAAAGGAAATTCAATAAAATAGGTTGGATGTGATCAGACAGAAAAACTGCAGACCTTAAAAGGCAGACTAGAGACAAGATATGGCCAGTACTGTGATCAATGAGGAACATTGGGGTGCCAACAGGGTCCCCTGGTTTGTCATAGAAATTCCAAAAGAGGAAACAGCCTCTAACTTTTTTCAGCGCTCTCTCTCTCTCTCTCTCTCTCTCTCTCTGTGTGTGTGTGTGTGTGCCTGTGTGAATGAGTGAAAAATGTCCAAAGAAGGTAGCCACAACCATGTGATTAAAATCTCACTCTTTTTTATGTGCATTGTGACACATCAAGTTTTGATTGCATAGTTTTGATTGTGGCTGTGGTCTTGACAGTTTTTGACACAACACACACACACACACACACACACACACACACACACACACACACACACAGAGGTGGGTGGATGGATGGACTGACCAGACTTTCCCCCACTTTTCCCTCAGTTACATTCCATTTACTCTAGCTTCATAATTTCCTGAGAATAATTCAAACGTTTGCGCATGATTTGGGGACATTTAGAACTATCTAATAAAAGTGGTGCCTTCATATGAATTTTTGAAGGTACTTTGTGTTTTATTTGTTTCTAAGTTTTTACCCCACTTGGAAAGATCCAAGTCCAGCACCAATACCCTACATTAGAGGAAGGAGATTTTAGAAATGAGGATGGGGCTTCGTTCTCATCACATATCAGCTAGCATTTTCCCCTCTTTTAGATAATTTCTTTTCTTTCTCAAAATTCTACACAGTTGGACTTTTAAGTATCTTAGTTGGCTAAGTATCCATATGCATATAAAAGAGCTATGTTTAATTTATTATTTTTACCTAGCTAGTGACAGAGCCTTTTTTTTTCAAGCAAAAGTAATCCAGAGAACCAGATCTATTATCCTTAGATGACCACGATGAGACTTTTAATCTAGCATATTGGTGAAGACTGAGATATAGCATAAAAATATTATATAGCTGGAATATCTGAATGGCTTTAAATAGAAACCTTAGATAGAATTAACTTGCCTTTTGCTTGGCCTCAACAATTCGCCTTTCAAGATCAGATGGAATCATTTTCCCCCTGGAAATAATGAATATATAAATAAATATGATGGATATGGATATAATCATACTAACCACAAAGTCTTTTCAAATGTCTTATCCAAGATAAGCTGCTATTTATGAAAATTGTCTTTTGCTGCTTACAAACTGTCAGAAGCATTAGCTTATCTGTCAGTTTGCAAAGCAATACAACTGGCATGTACACAACACAGTAAACCTAATTACAGAATTAAATAATTTCCCAACAATTCATGCAATATGCTGAGGAATAATCTAAGATGGTTCATTTGCATAACACATGATGCCATACAAAATTAATCCAGGTTAATGCCAAGCAAATTTTGCATATTGTACAAATGCACATACTGTTTTACCTGACATAATTAAACCTGTTTTGTAATGCATTGTGTTCATTCACTATTTTGTGTTTATTACTGAACTGCAAGTAGCTGATAGCTAGCTTTTAAGGAACATTTGTCTCTCATTCATGCAAGTATAAATTCTTTGTGTGTGGTGGGATGTCTTTGTATCTTACTAGTAGTGTTTGAGTGGAGGATATCAAAAATAGTATAAGGAACTCAGATTTATGAAATGAATTATTTTTTCCACTGTTAACTTGCCTCTTAAATTCTTAAAGTATATGAATCTAAAAGGTACTTGATAAACCCTGGCAATTCAAAAACTGGATTTTAAAAAAAGTTTAGGCCCCAATATATATAGCAGCCGAGATGATACAGTCATGGTTACCATGAAATAGGTTCATATTGACTGCTATAATCAGCTCCATGGGCACAGGAAGGCAGAAATCAAGATTTTCATCGGAGTTAGACATTCAGATGAAATATGCTATGCAGCTTCCAAGAACTCTATCACTGAGGGTGCACAAATGGAATTTTCAGCATAATGAACTCTCTGAGGAAACCATCATGGGTATCATGAGTCTTTCTCTACCAGAGGCCTGGGAGTTTGAGCAGTATCTTATGTGCAGTATCTCAGCTGTATGAGCAATATAGTTTTCCGAACAGAGAGCTCTGATGTTATTTCCGGGATATGTTGGAGCTTTTCTCCCATCTGAGGAGTTACAGCTCTAAGTGATTCTAACGGTATCACCAACTTTTTTTTTTTTTTACAAAAGTCATACTTAAAAGTAACAACAGGTAGTCCTTAAGTTACAACAGTTCATTTAGTGACCGTTCAAAATTACAATAGCATTGAAAAAAGTGACATGACCACATTTCAAAGTTATGACCTTTGTAGCATCCTCATGGTCATGTGATCAAAATTCAGATGGTTGGCAACTGGTTCATAGTTATGACAATTGCAGTGTCCCAAAGTCATGTGATCTCCTTTTGCGACCTTCTGACGAGCAAAGTCAATGAGAAAGTCAGATTCACTTAACAACCGGGCTACTAACTTACCAACTGCAGTGATTCACTTAACAATTATGTCAAGAAAGGTCATAAATTGGGGCAAAATTCACTTAACAAATGTCTCATTTAGCAACAAAACCAATTGTGGTCATAAGTTGAGGACTACCTATATTCAGAAGAGAAGAAGAAAAAAACATTTGCAGTCATTGCTGTTCTTCTTGATATCCATAGATTGATTGTATGCTTTCATCCCATAACATAAGTTATCTGGACATCTTATATACAACACAATATAAGTAAGAAATATTGCCGAGTCTCAATAGAATTAAATTCATTGAATTGAGATAGTCAGACTGAAAGATTCAAAGATATGGTGTCAGAATCACCTCCTTAGCACCAGGAAATCTCTCTCTCTGAGAATTAAGATGCTATTATCAGGAAAAATACTTCTACATAGTAAGGATAGTTGGTCAGTTTATTTGCCCAGGGCACTGAAAACAATTCCCTGAAGATTTGGTAAGTGCAAAGAGGAGGCAGTGGGGTTATTTTGTATTCAGGCTTTAACAATTACAGAAATCCATGAAGCTAAATCATAATAAGAGACTGTAGGAAATAGAATTAGCAACAATTCCTATCTTGGACCACTTTCAATGGCCATAAAAAGTGCAATAAGATAGTACAGGGGTGTCAAATTAGATTTCATTGAGGGCCACATCAGGGTTCTGTTTGATCTTGGGGGGCTGGGGTGGTCAGGATGGCCAAGACATCACTCATTTTCAGCTGTGACAGCCTCATGCAACTCTCTTTCAGAAAAAAACAGAACACAGGAGGCTGCATGTGGACCTCCCAAGCTCCATTTTCACTGGTAGAGGCACTGAGGGCCGGTCCCACGCTGTTTCCAGGTGGGCTATGGGCTGCCTCTTGCTCCTGGGCCTTGAGTTTGACACTCCTGCGATAGGAAATACTTACCCTATTACAATGATAAGTAAATATGATGAGTGGTTAAATATTTCTAAGCCAATTTTCTGGGAAAATATTCATTCCAACAGAGCTTATTTTAAAAAATCTGCTGTATTCAAAAACATTTCCTGTTAAAATGTATCTATTGCACTCATAAATAAAATTATTAAAGGAAAAAATTTCTTGCCATTATGAGGTTTTGGCAATTGCACATATGAATGCTGATATTTTGTGAAATCTTTCTGGATAAATTTGGTTCCTTTGGGTTGAGAATGTAGAGCAGCCTGAAAATGGGTGCTGACCTTTAATGAAATTAAAAGTTCTGCTTACCTTTCATCACATCTGATCAAAACCACACTGTCAGTACCAATTCCTAAAGCTGCTGCTCCTTTCTTCACTGAAAAATGACTCTGAAAAGGTATATTGATTATTTTGTACATGGAAGCAATGCACCAATATATTTCTCCTATGAAATAATGCTCTTGCATTTGTCTTCTTTGCCAACTCGTGAAATGTTTGGAGCAATTCTTTAAGGGTTTGTAAAAAAATGCAAAATTCAGTCTCCCTTAGAAATTGACAAATGCATTATGAGAGAGGTGTTAGTGGGCTACCGTGTATTTCATCAGCAGCATAAAGTGTTGTCCTGAGTTACAAAGTAAGTCTAATCAAGTAGTGGTATTTTAAATGAATTTGCAGAAGATACGATAAGTGCAAGTAGTTGTTGATACACAAACCTTTGAGCAGTGGGTAAGTTCAATCCTATTATTTTGTTTTTCTTTTTTTTGCAATTCTCCCTTGTCCATATTTATATTTATCTGAAACAATCCTATTGGGAGAAATTGGAGAAACTCATATTTACCTTTAAAAGTTTGTGATATGTGCTCAAATTCCTGAAAATTGAAGTGCTCACAATTAGAAAACCTGTCCATCCTCTATTGTCTGATTGGCATGTAATGTTTTCTGAATGCAATTTTTTCTTGAAGACCTACAGTAGTCAAACATCTTAACAATCAATGGCCTTTTTAAAAAAATAGCCTTGAGCCACATTTAAATTTTCTGAGTCTAAGAGACATTGCACAGTTCATTTTTTCAATTTTTAATTTTTTTTAATGAGATTGGAGCTTTCTTCTTCTTTTCATTGTGTATTTCATCAGTATATTTTACAGTTTGTTTCACAGTTTTTAAGCGTTTCCCAACCCAAAACCATACAGCCAACATTCATGTACCTGATTAGGAAATGGGGGCTGCAATTATGGATTTTAGTGATTTTAAGAACTTTGAAGGCAGATAGCAATGTAAGGATGCAGTTCTGAATGCAGGGTGCCAGCCCCTAATCTAAATGGGGAAGAAATTTAAATCCCAAAGCTCAGAGTCGCTTCAAGAGTGAGATTGGTAACATATAACTTGAATGAATTTATTTCCTTTATGAATAAATCTGAGAGGACCTTGTCTTCATCTGTGAATCTCATAACTTTACTCTGATTTCATTCATGCAATGTTCTAATTTGAGTAAAAAATAGAATTGATGTGGTCTGATGTTCAAACAAATAAATTATATAATGCCTTAATGCTGACCAGCAAACTATTCAACTCTAATATTACCACGTTTTCTCCCAAAACCTAGACAAAAACTGGATAGCAGTGTTATTTATAAAATTACTCACTTGATGTAAAACAAAGAGTTTTGAATTCTAAGTATTTATATCAATTCAACTGTTACAATTGTCTTCATACTGGATTCTACAGAAATTATATTCAATTGACCTAATCAGCATTAGACATCTCGGACCCTTATGAAGTCCCTAAATCACCTTTTTCAAGCGCCTCAGATTATCTCTGGTCACTATTGTTGAAAACTGGTGGCATGGAAAGAGAATCATAGTGAAAACACAATCTAAGTTGTACAATAATTTTCTTTTTTAAAAGAGTTTAAAAATCCTGAAGCTCCCCCATCTGCAGAGCACAAGAAATGGCTCTAGAAAATTCTAGACTGGCCACTTTGCATAACTTCGTCTGTTGTAGGTTCCAGGAACCCAACAAGCAAAAAAATTACCACAGCTCCTGATCATCAAAACTTTGCCAAATGCTCATATAAAGTCAGGATTAATTTCAAATTCACATTCATCCACAAACATTGCTGTATACCGCATTTCAAAAAGAAAGAATAATTGGTATGAGATCCCCTGTGTGGAAAAGAGTAAACATACATCCAAAGGAAGAAAATATATTACAGAAAGAAAGCAATTACATATTAGCCAAAGGTAAGATGAACATAAAGGATTACAGAAGAACACCTACATGTTCTGAGGTGAAGGCAACCAGCCTTGGAATAGCTGCCATTCCTTTCTCTTTAACTTCTGGGAACATCTTGAAACGTGCAATCAACATAGCATACATGTTAGATATGGCACCACCTGGAGACCACAGTAACAAACTGTTACTTTTTTTAAATTCACACTTTTGCATACAAACTACGCTTGATATAAGAACCTTTTTTCAAAAGTAGACATTTTTCTCAGGGCTTAATCCAAATACAGGTGTCATAAATTCTCACTCATTCAGTTTATATTCATTTGCTGAATTTTGAAGGCAGATAAACCATGTAAGGAAATAGAAGGAGACAAAAGCGATAAAAATACTGTATAACCACATTTTACTTTTTACTCTTGTTTGAATCCATCTGCTCAATGACCCTTTCACTATTAAAAATTGAACTTCTTAGGAAGAATTTAGAAGATTCAGTGCTATTTTTAAAAAAGTTCCTATCACCTTCCCTTAGTTTCTTATCTTGCTGTTCTAGATTTGAAGGAATAGAGAATTTTACCTACGACAACTTATAGTACTACTTTTAGAATGTACATTCTTCACTGATCAAAGAGGTTTTTTTAAAAATATAATCTCAATAGAGGAAAGCTCAAGGTTGACTCATCTTTCCATCCTTCCAAGGTGGGTAAAATGAGGACCCAGATTGTTGTGGGTAATAGGCTGACTCTGTAAATTGCTTAGAGAGGGCTGTAAAGACCTGTGAAGTGCTGCTGCTATTGCTGTTTTGACTCTGGCAAGTAGATTTGGGTTCTGCTTAAAAAAATAGAATGAATTTTGCTTTCCTTACAACATAATTATTTTAAAAAGAGTTCTGTTAATTGAATATCTAATCCAACAGTCTCATTGAAATTAGCTTCATTCACTGAGATAAGTCATTAAATAATGGTTTGTAAATCATAATTGGCTCACATTGCATGTTAAGTAAAAAAAGTCATATCATGGCCTAGAGTAACTGTAATAGCTTTGATAAGTTACTTACATCATTAAAGAAACAAAATAAGGCATGCCTGTTCAAATTTCCTAAACGAGAACATGAGCTGCTGTAATATCCATAGAGCACTCCTATCTTCATTTACTAGACCTACAGAAGCCTGACCTCATTGTTAAATACTGTAATTTCTTATTTATTTCATACAAATAAGTGAATATTATGTACTACAGAACTAAGGAGTGGATATTTCATTTGATTGAATGTTCTCTATCATTTGATTCTTTATAAAGTGGCACAATTTGCTTGAAGGAACTTTCTTCAAGAATAGACAGTACAGTTTGTGTTCTCAAAGTCTCTGGATTGAAATAAATGTGCATCTTTTTTATAACCAGGAGAGAATATTAAGAGCAAAGGTTGAACATGCTGCTTCTCATATTAAGTTGCCTTGAAAGGTATTGTATATCATTAGCATGAAAGCACAAAGAAGCATCACTTACCAGGTGAAAAAATTCCATCACCAGCACCTCCTGGCCAACCAATTATTTCTCTCATTTTTCTTAATGTAACATATTCCAACAGTACAAACACAGGAGCAATTTCATAGGTGAACCTAGAACATAGCAATTTCTGCATCTTATTGATTCAGTAACAGTATTGATAGAATAACTCACTTCATAGAGCATAGAATATAGAATAATAGAGTTGGCATGGACTGGAAATCTTTTAGTTCAAACCCTGCTTAAACAGGAGGCTCTTATAACTTTGTTTGCTTCAGAGTTATTGCTTAATTATTTTTTCCAATATTATTCCAGGTATTGATGTCAGGCTGATTGGTCTGTAATTTCCTGGATCTGTTCCCCTCTCCCACTTTTTTAAAGTTGGGAACCACATCAGCTCTTTTTCAGTCCTCAGGTAGTTTCCTCATGCTCAAAGAACTTTGAAAGATATATTTCAATAGTTCTGAAATCATGTCTACCAGTTTTTTTCAACATTCTGGGATGTAGCCTGTCAGAACCTGGTGATTTGAATCCATCTAGAGCTGACAGGTGTTCTCTTACTTTATTTTTACATATTTGCATTCCTAACCTGTCATTTACAGTTCTGTTTTGGGTGGGTGGAGTTGTGTTTTCTTTTTACATGAAGACAGATGCAAAATATGAATTAAGTAGTTCTGCTTTTTCACTGTTGTCCATTATTTCTTAGCCATCTTTGCCCATTAGTGGACCAATTACATTTTTAACTTTTTTCTAGCTTTTTTATATGTTGAAAGAAACTTTTTAAAATTGTTTTTGATATTTGTTCCAAGTCATACTTTGTTCAAAGCCTTAGCTTTCCTAAGTTCATCTTTGCAGGTTTGGGCTATTTGTTGGTATTCTGCCTTCGTCATACGTCCCTCTTTCCATTTTTTTCTCAGTTGGTCTGAAAGTTCTTTGTGCAACCATGTTTGGGTTTTCTTGGTTTCCTTGTTTTTCTTTTTTTAATGGTATTTAATTGGATCATTTTTCAGTTTCCCAAATTTCTTGAGTTGATTTCCCCTTTCAGATTTTCATCCATGGGATCCTTCCAAAGCTCTTTCTGAGTTTGTTAAAAATCAGCTCTTTTAAAGTCTGAGAATTTGGTTTGACTGTTCTGTTGCTTGTGCCTTTTTTATATTGAATTCTAATATGACACGGTCAATCTCTCATAAAATTCCTGCAATTCCAACCCTCTCTATCATTTCTCATCTGTTGGTAAGAATAAGATCCAGTATAGCTGTCCCTCTAAATGGCTCCTCTATCTTTTGGGTGATGATGTTGTTGATAGGTGGGTCAGGAATCTATTTGATCTCTCATTTGTTGCAGAGTTTGTCTCTCAGTTGATGTCAGAGTAGTTAAAATCCCCCAATGCTACTGTGGTATGTTTCCTATATAAGTTGGTTAAGTGATGCAAAAAGTTCATCTATTTCTGATGCCTTCCTACATGCCTTCCTTGATGCCTTCCTTGATGCCTGAGACTACAGATCCAAAATACTACTGGCAAAACAAGAAAGAAGAAAATTCAACATATCGCTGTCTGTGGAGCTTCTCAATCATTCAGGTCATGGTTGTCCGAAAGGTGCTTTTCCAAAAAGCAATTGGACTTTTTTGGGTTTTTCCCGCCTTGAAAACATTTTCCTTTTCATCTAAGAAGCTACTTCAGAACTGAACTTTTTATTCTATCTTTTCTGGAGAGGTACCAATGACTGTTTTCCCCATTTGCCTCCCTTAATTTTAACAATTTCATGTTCTTCATGCTTTCACGAACATATTATTTTCTGTTTATCTGTTTAGCTATGCACCTCTCAGTATTTCTATAGAACCATTTTTCATGCCATATGCTACCTTTTTACTCTCTCTTTTTTTCTTTCTTAAAAAGAGGCATGCAAAATATAAATGCTAACTTATCTGCTGACATTGGTAAATATGAGAGTCAAGTCATTTTCTTGTCTCTAAAACTTGTGGACTAAAAAATAAATGTATTAATATCCATGAATATGACATTTTATCTGATTAATTATTATTCATTAATTATGAATGCAAGTATGTTTGTTATAATTTGTTCCTTATAACTGCTTTGTGAGCATTACCCCTGAATTAAAATAATCTTTAGACCAGTTCCTACCTGAATTTCATGCATGCAAAATGGACAAACTCTGGCAACGAGGATTTTTTTAATAGTTGCTAATTTAAAGAAACAAATATTTTGCATAGACAGTAAGATAGTGTACTTTATTTCTAAAAACAATCTAAGCTAATTTCTGAGTTAATGATGCTTAAAAGGATCTTATTAGTCAATTTACATACTTACATATTAGTGTTAGCTGTAGAAGTTAGCCAATCTGCAGCTAATCCAACCATATCCAATCCAGTTGAAAGCTGATTGAAATATCTGGGATGCCCTGCAAAACATCTGAATAAGCTCCATTGAAAAATATAATCTGTTATTATATTTCTATCACATTCATATTTCCTGCTGTCCATTTTGGCCATAAAATCCCAACCTCATTGCATTTGTATGGAATTTATATGGCAAACAGCTTCAGTGAAAACTCATTATTTTTAGCTTTTAGCAATGAGGATGAAAGTTCTGTATAAAGAGACTTTTGTTCAGGCATTATCAGCATTACCATTGCTCAAAATGCCTTCTTCTCTTAAAAGGACTAGATGGATCTTTTCCATTTCAGAAAAAGAAACAGATTGAAATTGACAGTTGAATTATATTACAGTATAATTGCATGAAGAGCATCTTATATGAATTCAAGGGAACTTAACTTATTTTAAAATTATTTATTTTCTCAAACTAGGTAAGAACAAAAAGAAAAAAGATAAACAGAGTTAGCATAGTAAAATATCACTAATATTTTTGTCTTCCCTTCCTCGCTTCCAAAATAAGAGAGAAAAGGAAAGTAAGAGAAGAGAGGATATGAAAAGAGAGGACACGGGAGGGAAGAGGAGAGGAAGAAAGGAGAAGGAAGGAGAGGGGAGAGAGGAGAGGAGAGAAGAAAAGAAGGGAAGGGAAGAGAAAAGAGAAGAGAAGAGAAGAGAAGAGAAGAGAAGAGAAGAGAAGAGAAGAGAAGAGAAGAGAAGAGAAGAGAAGAGAAGAGAATGCAGGTAGGGAAACAGGCAGGCACAATGTGCCTGGAAATTTATCTAATAAACAACACAACTTCATAAAATTTGTACAAATTGTCCAAATTGTTCCTCGCTTCTATGTTGAATAGACCATATATAGCAGCCATTCATTCCTACAAATCAGCATAAATGTGATGTCCTTATATAATCATGACATTTGGTCATCCACATGCACCATTCTTGATAGTCTAATAAATACTGTAGAGAAAGCCATCAAAACATAAATGTTCTTAATAGAAAGTAAATGATCTTATTACAAGCCTAAGCCACAAAACAGGATGAAAATATATAATATAATATATAATATATAATTATAATTATAAATATATAATCTTCTTGTTCTCCACTCATTCTACCTCTGTCCTCCACAAATAATGTTTCACAATCTTCCACTAGTTTTTGAAGAGATCAACTCTAACATGTTTCCATTCAGATCATTGGCAGAATTTACAGATATCAGAAATAAATTTTACACAAGTTGTTTTGTCGCCAGTAAAGAGACTCGCAGACCGGAACTGAATTCAGCTCTTTAATAATAACAGTAACTTCAACTGCAGTTGAACTGCAGCAGCCCTTTTTATAGCAGCTGCTCCATGGCTCGCAACCAATGACATTTGGTTAAACTTCCCGCTGCTATTGGCGGCCAATCAGGTACTAACATTACTAACCAATTGTATCATTGCTTCTGTTAACCAATAGGAACATTGCCCTAGAAGTCTTTATTTAAATACACTACACCCCTCCCCTCTTGGTTCGTTCCAATGTAACGTAGCGCAACATAATGTAAGCGCAGGTAGGCGGAGCTCTTGTGAGTCCTTGTTGACCTGCGCAGTTCAGCCCCTGTGTTGGTTTCCGCACGTTTGGACAGGCCAGCCATCCATTCCTCTCTTCCCTCTGGAAACTCCTGGAAGGGTGCCTTGACTGCGCCACTTTGGCCGTGTCTTGGGATTGTTGGTCTTACTCTGCGGTCTGGGCTTGCTGGATGGGCAGCGTGGTCTCCTCGCTGTGTGTGGGGGCAGGTCGAGTTGGCCTGGCTGCTTCTCCCCGAGGCTCCTTCAACTCCTCTTGTTTCTCGAAGACTTCTAAAAGTAAGTGATTTTTATTTTCTTTATTAATTTGTCCCCCCCCCTCTGGATTTTTCATTATTATCTGGGGGTGTTTGGAAAATTGTTTGTTCTGCATTTCTGGGAACGTCGGTGTCTCTTTCGATATGTTGGGACCGTAGCTGGTCAATGTGTCACTTCCACGATCTGCCATCGGTGGTTTCTAAATGGTAGGAACGAGGGCCAGTGATTTGAGTAATCGTTGCCGGTAACCACAATGGTTCTCCAGTAAGATTTTTTGCGTAGACTAAATCGCCTGGTAAGAAAGAGTGGTACTTACTGGATGAGTCTGGTGGCTTTTCTGGGTTGTAGGTAGGGTGCAATCTATCCAAGTAAGATCGCAATTTCCTTCCCATCAAAAGTTTAGCTGGGCTCTTGTTCATAGTTGTGCATGGTGTTATATGTTGGATGGTGAGCATGGTGTTGAGTTTCTCTTGCATATCACTTCCGTCAAGCCTTTCCAGAGTTTCTTTTGTAAAACGAACCATGCGTTCTGCTCTACCGTTCGCTGCCGGATGAGCTGGCACTGTCAAAGCAAAGCCAAGGCTGTAAACTGTGGCCCATTGTCCGATACTACTACATCTGGTAAACCGTGGTGACAAAAAGTTTTTAAAGTTGTTTGGTGATGGCTTCTGTGGTTGTTGAACTCATGATGATGACTTCCAACCAGTTTGAATAGGCATCCACGATGATTAGGTAAGTATAACCTTTCGTGGGGCCGGCAAAATCCATATGGATTCTTGACCAGGGGCCTTGAGGTGTCTCCCATTTGAGGACTGGTGCTGAGGGGGTGGGTGGGTCTGGAAGATTGGCATTTGTTACATGTTTTAACCCAGGCTTCAATATCTTTATCTATTCCTGGCCATCAAACGTAGCTTCTGGCCAGGGACTTCATTTTTACTATGCTGGGGTGTCCTTCATGTAGCATGGTTAGCACCTTTTCTTGTAACTTTTTTGGAACCACCACCCTGTCTCCCCACAAAATGCACCCTTTTTCCAGTGCTAATTCAGTTTGCCAGTTTTTAAATGGTTTAAAAGTCTCGGTTTTCATGTTTTCCGGCCAACCCCATCCCACCCAGTTCAATATCCGGCTCATCAGTGCATCTTTAGCTGTTTCCCTGGCAATATCTGATGTGGTGATTGGCCAATTTGACATCGTTTCAATTTGTAGTGTCTGTGTGGTGGGAGCTGGATCGTTGTCGTGCCCTGGTAGTGGTGCGCGGCTTAAGGCATCTGCGTGGGGTATGGTTTTCCCCGGGTGATAAATGAGTTTGTAACTGTAAGCTGCTAGAAATTCTGACCATCTAGTCATTCTTGGGGACAGGATATTAGGGGTTGCTGTATTGAATCAATACTGATTTCAATGTGATTAGATCCTTAATTTTTTTGAATGCTGTTTCTTCTTGGTGGCCCCATTTCCAGTTGGCTTTTTTATCGAGAAGTCTATGCAGTGGTTCTGCTACTGTTGCCTTCTGTGGCAGAAAGACATGATAAAAATTAATAAGACCCAAAAAAGCCTGTAAATCCATTTTGTTTTTGGGTCTGGGGGCTTCCTTAATTGCTTGTATTTTTTTTGTGTGTGGGGTGGATTCCTGCTTCATCAATAAGATATCCCAGGAACTCAACCTGGTTTGTGGCAAGTTGGCATTTTTCTTTTTTGACCTTGAGTCCTGCTTCTCTAAATTTTGTCAGAACTGCCCTTAAACAGTCTTTTAGTTGTTTTTTGTTTTCAGCAGATATTAATACATCATCAAAATAGGGCACCACCCCTTTTAGACCTTGTAGAAGGTGTTCCATTAGGCTCTGGAAAATACCAGGGTCTATGCTTACGCCGAATTGTAATCTATTGCATTTAAATGCTCCTCTGTGTATAACGATGGTTTGTGTCTTGGCTGTTTCAGGATCAATGGGTAATTGTTGATATGCCTGCGTGAGGTCGAGTTGTGCAAAAATTCTGCCTCTTCCCAATGAATGAAACAGGTGTTGGACTACTGGGACAGGGTATGCGCTCTGCTGCAATGCGTGGTTCAGGGTGGTCTTATAGTCACCACAGATGTGCACGGATCTGTCAGGTTTTATAGGGGTCACAATTGGGGTCTCCCATCTGGCATGGTCAGTTGGCTCTAGAATCCCCTGAGCGATTAGTTTGTTTAGTTGTTCGTCAATTTTAGATCTTAGTGCAAATGGTACCCATCTGGCTTTGAGTCTAACTGGAGCTATGTTCGGGTTTAAGTTAAACGATATTGGGGTCCCACGGTACTTGCCTAAGGTCCCATCGAACACGTCATGGAATTCTTCTATCAGGTCTTTTTCCCAGTCAGTCATGGTGGTGGTGTTGATTCCTGTCACCTCAATCCCGAGCGGTTTGAACCATTCCAAACCAAGCAGGCTGGGGCGATCTCTGTCAATGATGGTTAATGGCAGGATCTTGGTGTGCCTTTTAAAATTTATTTTGAAGTGTCCTAGCCCTACTACCGGTATTTTGTTACCCTGGTAGTCCTTGATGATAAGGCTTTGCTTCTCAAGTTCTCTGCATTGTATATCGGGAATTAAGCTTTTTATTGTGTTCCATGACACGATTGATAAATACGAACCAGAGTCTACTTCCATCTCGCACGGCTTGCCTTCAATCAGGACGTTGATCCAAACCTTCTTAGTGTTTGTTGTTCTGGCCGTAGATAGTTGTGATAGTTTGGTGCGTTTCTTCCGTTTCATCTTTCCGTTGACTTTTTTTGTCACGGTTCCAACGGCTTCTGGTTGTCCTTTCTTTGTTTCTGGGGGGGTGGGTACTGCCTTGTCCCCTTGAACTATAGCTCTTTTTGTTTCAGCATACCCTTGCGATGTGCCCCCGTTTCTCACAATGCCAGCATGTGGCATCCAGGAATCGACACTCAGATCTCAGGTGGTTTCTGCCGCAACCCGCACACTGGAACTCAGATCTTCTGCTTCGTCTCTCTCTCTCCAGTTCCTTTCTGAATAGAGTCTGTTCACTTCCTTGTCTTCGTCATCTGAATCGGTTGATGATTCGATGTCCTCATGGTGAGAGGACGTGGCAGTGTGCTTTTGGGTTCCCTCTGTCTTCTTCTCTTTGTTCATGCTTGGGCTGCCCGCCATATTCATCTGCTTCATTTTTGCTGCAGATTTCTTTGCGACTTCAGCGGAAG